GCAGCAGCACTTTAGAAAGAATGGAGACTATATAGATCTGTGTGGTCTAAATGTTATGGAATGGGGGCAATGTCTGTCCCACAAAGAGCATCGTCTTCACAGATATTTAACAGGAAGTTCTAGGGGCCAGAGCCTGGTCTGACATTGGTGTGAACTAGGAATGAAAAGAGTTACTTCAGTGCTAAATGAAATCAGAATCTGGTCCTAGGACTGTAAAGTTCAGAAAGGCAAGTTGTGTCCCTGGTACTAACATGTTAGGAAAGTGGGGTCACCTTAGCATAAAGAATAACTCACCTAGAGGCATGTGAGATAAGCCAAGTCATTTTGTTTTGAGAAAAGTTTCAACAAAGCAAGCTTTGAATCTCTTATGCCGTGTGCTGGAGGCCACATGATTCCCACCTACTCGTACATCATAATAGTGTAAGAGAACTCACCATGGCGGTAACTTCCCTTTTTCTGTTACATGGTGGGAAATGTTTGGCTTTGCAAATTAGTTTGCAAGTTAGAAAAGGCAGGTACTTACAAATACTTGTAGTGTCTAGCTAATTTGTTATTGAAACAGCTGAGTGTCATAATTAAACTGCTGGTCCCAAATGATCAGAAAAGACTAAAGCAGCTTCTTGTCTTGCTGTAGCTTACCTCCAGTGACTTATTCTCTATTTGTGCAAACAACTGTATTTTCAAACCAAGAGATGTACTGGCTGTACACCTCTTTTGTTATAGACTGTATCTAATTAGACTCAGCTGTCAGCATCCACACATTCAGTCAAACCAGCAGCAAAGCAGGAATTCACGCTGGTGTGAAATACAGCGTAGAACTCGTGCTGGTTTCAACCCAGCATAACAACTGCAGCATTACACAGTGTTACCGAAAATGTTGTCTTGGGTATAACAGACAAGTTCATCTGAGAAGGTTTCAATTAAATCTGGAAATTTCCTGCACTTTTGTAATTAAAAGAGCAAGAGTAATACAATTAAATAAGAGTGTATGTACTCTTACAAAGCCTACAAGGCAATTTGACTTCTCAACATCAAAGCTCTGTATACAAAGGGAGCACGTCCCATCTGCTCCACGTATGTGGCCCTCACAAGTCATTAGAATGATCTTCTTAAAATTACAACCCAGCAAGAGCAATCAGTTTTATGTATCCAGAAATTATTGTCCCACTGCCCATCTGCATGTCTTTCAAGGAATGTAGTACAGAAATGGAAGAGCTAGCTCCTCAGGGAAATCATTCTCATCTTCAATATACATATGCTGTGCTACAGTTAATCAGACAAGTTGTATTGATGTTCTTGGCACCATTGCACAATTGAATATGTAACAAACAAATAATTCTAGGACCCAAAGATATATGGTACTTCAGGTCATGCATAGATGGGAGGGATTTAAATAGTAAGGTGAATCAAGGTTATCTCTTTGTCTCTTGCAGGTTAAAATAGTGTGATATTGTCCTGAATCACCTGCCAGATCACACTAATTCAGTTTAGTAATGCTGCTTTACACTAGCGGTGTTAAAATGACTTCATAACGTATTAAAAATCTTGAAAAAAAAAGAGACATCTCTCTTTGTGTCTCAGTAAAATCACTAACTACAGGAGTAAAGCGGTATTTACAACTTCCCAAAATGCATGTAACTTCACTAGTAACAAAAATAAGATGAACAAAAGCAGCACATTTAAATATTTATAAATTTCAAAGGCATTTCATATACCAGTAAATGTCGTCTTCTGCCTTTAGAGCCTACCAGAAAAATAAATGTTGTAGAAAGGATTGCTTAGCGGTGCTGTTTCAGATGTGTGTTATAAAAATACTGTGTGTTTATTTCTTTTCCCTAAGCCAAGAGAGGTCAGTTATGTGAACTTTAACGATGATCATTGTATAATCACAGTGCATTCTCACTTGCTTATCCCGATAAATGCTGTATCACTGTATAAAGGAACACATTTTCCAGTGTATGAATAGCTTTTGCAATGGAATGTGTTCTTAAAGTATTATGAAGCATTGTGGACACATCAGTAGCTCATGTCTTTGCGCAGGCATGTCACAGATCAAACGTAGAAGGGTTAGCCCAAACAGATTCCTCTCAGGGTCCTGGAGGGGACAAGAGTGGATTCTAACCTCCTTCATCTCCTTTGCATCCGGCACACATCCCACGTAAGCCTCCATTCAAAAACATACAACATTGCGACAGAAGTATTGCTACTGGGGCCTTTCTGTTGGTGACTCCGCCCTCCTGTTATGAGCCAACCGCCTGCTTACTTGCCTGCCATGCCTTGATCTTAATTGATTGATGTAATTAGCGGGAGCCTGCCCACTTTCTACGCCCCGGTGCCAGGGGGCACTATCTGTGGCTCCTTTTCCTTCCCTACACCGCAGCCCAAGCCTCGCAGATAGTACTGACATGGTTTTAACCTGGGCCCTGTTGTGACTTGGCCCCCCTTGCCCTCGGGCTCCGCACTGCCCCTCCCCCTTGCCCTGGGGCTTCTCGCTCCTTGCAGCCCTCTCTCCGGGCTCCTCACTGCCCCCCTTGCTCTGGGGCTGGGGTCAATGCACCCCAAATGCTGCGCCCTCTCTGGCGCCAGGATCCCCAAGCTACCGTGGAGCCCCTATGAGGCCTCCTCCAACCCCTAATAGCCTCACCTGGTCCTCCGGTGTAACAACAACAAAAAAAACAATAACACAAGCCCCTGGGCTATAACATAAAAAGCTAGACTATCCGGCCAAACAACATTCAATCCCTACCAGGAAAACACTCCAACCCCCAGCAACGACCAGGGCCTCTCATGCAGTCAGAGTTCTCCCCTCCATCTGCACTGGCCAAGTTCCTCTTCCCTTGGCTGCCAGAGGGGAACTGCCTTCCTGGCCTCCCACCTGGGCTTATATGGGTCAGGCCCTGCCCCTTCCTGTCAGCTGGTTCCCCAGCAGTTGTCCTGGCAACCAGCACCTGTTACTCCAGCTGCCCTGGTAACTCCCTCTTCGTGCCACTAGGGGTCTCTCCCAAGCTGTTTTCTGCTCTCAGGCACAGGGCACCTGAGTGCTCTGTGACAGTCGTGCACAAGCTTCACTTTGCATGGAACTCAAGCATGTGCTTAAGTATGGGAAAGATGAGATGAAACACTTTAATCAAACCGAGTGCACCATAATACATTTGGCTCTATCACATCTTCCAGTGTGAGGTAGAAAGCCATGAGCTTATGGAGGCTATCTAGAACACCTCTGCTGGTTATCGTTCTCCTCTTCCCAGATAGCTTTACACTCTCATGGCACCGAGCTCATGTAAGTCACCCTCGTGTAACCATCTCTGTTGTATGCTGCGTCCCAAAAGATGGTGGATGACAGAACAGGAAAATATCAGTCCTCCACTCTGAGAGCAGTGTTGTTTTTAAATGTATAGGCTACAGAGATCAAAGAGAACCTTGCAGCTAAAATGTCTCCTGATTTGTTTACTGTTTCTGTTGTTTACTTGACTATTTCTGTGGTCTGTATTTGCAACTAACCTACTAATTCCTTTGTAAAGTGTTGTATAAATGGACAGTGCTATGCAGAGGTGTTTAATAACTAATAATCTAGCTCTGCTTGTTACCCTTAATCTTTTTTCAAAGACAAGTGAAATCTGGTGACTTGAGTGCCCAAGATATTTTTTTCCACACACACAGCTTGGTTCTTCATAGGGAAAGGTCCGTGAATGAATTGAGACTGTTTGGTTCTGCCATAGCATGGTTGTATTAGAATTTAGGAACAAAAGTATATGAATGATGGACTGCACATAACCGAGAGAGTTGCATACAATCGTTACTCCCTAGACTGAAATAAAAGGTCCACTCAACTCACAGTCCATGTAAGCTATCCAAAGAAAACAAAAGAAAGCAGTAACAGAGATGTCTAGCATGTGTACAGTGCTGCTATGTGGGTTAGAAGGGTGGCTGTCTAATCCAGGGATTTTTCCCTTAATTGAGCACAGCACTCCCTTAGGGCCCAGTCTTAGATCTACCGAGGTGAAAAACAGAGCTCCTTTTGATTTTAGTGGCAGAGGGTTGGACCATACAAGGTGACCCTCATCTTTGTAGCCAAACTGTGTTACTTGTCAGGGATGGTGTTTCAGAGGAGTGGTGTTTCAGAGTGGAGGACTGATATTTTCCTGTTCTGTCATCCACCATCTTTTGGGAAGCAGTGTACAACAGAGACGGTTACACGAGGGTGACTTACATGAGCTAGGTGCCACGAGAGTGTAAATCTATCTGGGAAGACGAGAACGATAACCAGCAGAGGCATTCTACATAGCCTCCGTAAGCCAATTCAGAGTTTCAGTAGGATGGCAATGGGAGAGAGGGCTTCCTTTTATGCCTTTCCTGGTCAGCAGGGACCCTCAGATGACTATCCCTTTCTTATCCAATATTTCCGTCTTCCTTGTCACTTGGTTTTCTGCTTGGTGTTTATTTTTTGAGTTTCAATATCAGGGTACTCTCGATGTGTAGTTGTTGGGTGTTTCATGTAGACCTTGTTTGGAACAGGAATAGAGAATGAGTAACATTGCACTTTTTAAAAAGTCCCCCAAATGATTTTTTTAATTAACTTTCAAAGAAAGGGAATCTCTGCAGGAAGAATTTCTTCTGTTTGTGACTTAAACTTATGGCAGGTCACATATCAGTTCAGCAACGACATGAAGAGACACGTGGTGCTTATTGGTCGGCACCCGTTGTCCAAACTGTACTAATATTGGGACCCACAGGCTTCCATCAGTCTCAGCTAGAACAGGATCTGGACCTGTTTTCAAAAGTGTCTGATGTGGGGGTTTCCACAGGAGAAGCAAAAATTTGTGTTTAAAGTCCTGAGCCCCTGTGTTCTCTTCCCACTCCATGACAGTGGGAGTTGCTTGCTCAAATATGAAAGAGTAATTTTGAAATCCTACGTCCAGATGTTCTGAGATGTATCATAAACATCATCATGTGCTACAGGTTTCTTTCACAGTCACAGTTGTTTTGTTTTCCAAATTTAGGATGACCTCAGTGAGTCCATCCAGAGCCCTCAAACCATCAAGATCAGTCATGGTACATCATTTGATTTGCCAGTATTAAAAGTGATCCCATTAAAGATGATGTCAGGAAGTCCCGAACACTGGAAGAGTGAAGGATGGAGCAAGTGTACCCACGTGGAAACAATGTCCTCAAAAACAGGAGGCTTACTTGTGAAAAAAGTAGCTGCTAATAACACTCAGACCAGCTTGATGCCCACCCCCTGTCTTTCTCCAACTGGAAATAAACCTGACTGTAAAGAAATCCCAGAGGCCTCTGAAAAGGTGAAGGGGAGTGCAGTTGGTCAATTAAGAGCATCAAATAGTAAGAAGCCCCACAAAAAAATTGCAAGAGAAAATTCAAGTCCGGCAGCTGAGACATCTGTAAGTGAGTTCACTTTGGAATTAAATGATTTCCATGGTTTGAACAGAGATGCTGCAACACATTTCAGACCTATTTTATTTATTTATTATACCTACTTTGCACCAGTTGAGAAAAAGTAGAACAGTGTATTTTTTTTTTCTAGGTGTTTTCATGATCACCACACCTACAGTAAGCAAAGCACAGTTTGGTTCCTACAATGGATTTTCCAGTATTAGATAGACATTATCTTGCACATAAAAGTATTACTGTAGTTGCAAGTAGAAATCAGTGAGTTTACAACCAAACGGCAGTATGGTCGTACAGTCCCACAACTCGGGTTCTCAGACAGTGTGAACTGTAAATGCAGACATGCTGGTAGTTTTGGGCTGAAAGGCTAGAGAGGCAAATTGACAGTTTTTTAGTAACAATCTACAGGAGAAACTATACAAAGATCATTAGCCTGTGCACTTCAGGGTTTCTCTGCAGCAGCCCAGAAACATAATAAATGATATGATTGAAGGCTAACAGTAAGGCAGTGTCATAGACCAAATCCCCAGGCTACTCCAGAGACTGCATTCATGTCCATCAAATTGCTTTTTTTTCCCTTGTGGTTTTATTTTTTTTCCCTTTCTGTGTTTTCCATATAAGAGGACAAATGAGCCTGTTCTAAACAAGTGACATTGCTGTGCACTCCTTAACAGTACAGGCTCTTTCCACCAACTTTTTATGTTCAATAAATAGCTTTGAATAGGGAATTAACATTTATTATTCAAGTGTGTTCTGTATTTAGAACATCAAAGAGCAGATTCTGATTGTGCATTTGCTCATCCTGTTAGGCAGGTTGCCTTTTTAACTGAGGGATCCTGCTTACGTGATTGTAGGTTTAAGAGTATCCAATACCCAATTCTCAAATATCTTCACTCATCATCACATTTATTTCTCCCACTCAGTATTGTTCAGCTTTGGGAAACTGTTGAATTTTTAAAGCACCAAGTATGTTAGTCCTAACCAGAACTGTGTTCTCTTTGCCCAGAAGAAGTACACTTAGTTCAGGGCAGGCAGCTCAGTGATCAGTTCACTTCCACCTATCTTGGGTATTCCCAGCAAGAAAACTGCTAGGTCCTGTAGATGGAGGCAACATAGATAGAGACACTTTCCCCCAAAAGCTGCTTTTGTTTTTATCCCTCCATATGTAGTCAATGAATTGATTTGTGCCATAATTTCTCCTGAATTTTTTGGGTGGTTTACTCTATATTGTGCTTCTGTTCACTTGATATAACATTTTGTTACTTCATTTTTCAGGGATTGCAGACTGTTTTCTTCCAAGATGTCTTTCTATTGCATCATTGTCATTTTTTCCTACCACCTTGCCCAGCCCATCAGGAAACATCTATTTTAGCACCTGTTATTTGAAAGTTACCTGTTCTGTTTTGGATTTGGAGTGCTCAGCTGCAAAGAAACAGAATCTCTCTTTGTGAACAGAGCTACTATACGATTATTTTTTATTTATAATTACTATCATTATTTAGATTTATGTCTCGCCTGATTCAGAAAATTGTTGGCGAAAGCCAAGCATATGAATCTCAAAAAGTAAATCTCTCTTCATTTTCTTGGCTTATAGCATACTTGTAGAGTGCTAGAGTGAAAAATAAACACACACTGTCACAGTCCTGATCCTCTTATCATACCTGGTCATTGGGGAGCTTTGTGTGCAAGGAAAGAGAATTAACAGCTGGAAAGAGAAGCCTAACTAGAATACAGGATGGCTCTAGGAGGAGTGGTAGCAATGAAACAATCCTGCTAATATCTCACCCTCCCAATCACCTTCATTGCTGCTGCAGAACATAGGAAAGAGCCGGAGGAAAATGTGGTGTAGGACTGCAGGAAACCAGGCATAGTGATTTATAGCGGTGTTTCTAAACCCGTGGGTCATGACCCAAAAGTGGGTCGTGAACATATATGAAAGGGTCGTGAACACACTTTAAAAATGGATCAACACACTTTAAAAATGGTTCTCCTTTGAAGGAGGAAAATGTGGGAAACAGTGGCTTTTCCCTTGCAGGCAGGCAGAGCTCCAGCCTGCTAGGGGCTGCTTAGGGCCCCCCACGTCCAAGCTGTGGAGTCAGTCTTAGCAGGGCTGCCATTGTGGGTAAAGTAGTCAGGTGTTAGCAGGACTGCAGTTTGAGATGGATTATATATACACAGTACTTGGTTAAAATTGGATATAGTGTTTTCCAAGCTGCCTTCATAGCTGGGAGTTCTTTGCTCCTCTTCTTTCTTATTTCCTTGCTACAGATTTTGTGCCAAAATGGAAATGCCACTCCTGTTGTTTTGGTATTAAAACCAGGCTTGTTTAGCACCTCAAGAATAAAATCTACTATATTTTCTGGTGTTAGAGTATTATAAACATATGGGTCATTCCAGTTAATTTTAGAATAATTCTAACAGACTGTTAGAAATGGACTTTTCTGCGTATTATTACACAATTAGAGCATGTGCAAACCTAGAATTAGGGATGTTTTACATTGTTAGCACCCATTGCGGTGGTTTTAGGTTTCCGTCATATTTCAGGAAAAATATATGGAAGTAACACATCATTAACGATCACTAGACAACAGTATTTTAGTCTGAGTAACGTAAGGAGCTCTTCTTTTACACTCCATTTTTTAAAATGTCATTGAGCTAAGAATCGAAAGGGAAGCTATGCAGCCGGGTGACAGAGGCACTTCCATGTTGGAGGGCTTGCTGTTTCCAGGGAAGGAGCCTCTTCCAATCTTCTCGTACAGAGGGTTGGTGAAAATGCGTAAAAGACTCTTAATGAAATTGATTTGCTAACTACTTAGTAAACTTTAAGGACCTGGTTGCTTGCAATGTTTTATTCATGTTTTAATAGAGTTCTCTATTATTAAGTTCAAATATTTTTAATTAAGAAAGAAGTACAGCCCTCTGGGTAATATTGCAACCATGTAGATAGCTGGTAATTAAACTTTTCCGCACGCATAACTACATTCAAACAATTCTGAATAAATCATTTGAGCCTAGTAGAATGCGAATGTCATTATGTGCATCTTTAACAGAGGACAAATGCCTTTAAATAACAGGTTTTGTCAATCCAACAAAAGTTTAAGAGCTTAAGAAAAATGTTTCTTATCATAAGGAGAGGATATACAGAAAGACAAGATAAGCATTTAATTACTAACTGAAGTATTCATTTTGAAAAAATTTAGGAGCACGGCAAAATTGCTTTCTACATCAAAAATGTCCTATAAAATACAAAGTGAACTTAATCTCAAATTCAGTTTTCGAATTCTCTCTTTGAAAATCAACTAAGACACTGAATCTTGTCAAAGGGTTTTGTAACTAGGCATCTGAAGCTGCAGAATACTTCCCTAACCTTCCCTTTTTTGTACAATGGAGTTTACTGAAGGGAAGGAGAAAGTGGAGGATTGGTCGGTCTTCTCTTCTCTAAAGATGTTGCTTGCACTGAGGAGGAGGAGTTTTATGTAGAAGGGAAACAGACTGCCAAAGCCTTGATATTTTTTAAATAAGCATAAAAATATCTCAAAAAACCAAAAAAATGTAAATGGGGGATGAGGAGGATAATGGGTTTTCTTTTCTTTCTTGCCTGGATTTTCTCTCTGAAACTCACTGAAGGGATTTCACAAGTTCCTGCCATCTGAGTTAGTCCATGCCAGGTAGTCTGAATGAGAGGGCTGCAAGAAGCTCTTATCAAAAGTAAACTATATGAAGCAGAAAGTTCATCAGCAGGAGAATTCATGAGAAAGCTTTCAACAAGTTCAGCAATAGAGAGATTATGGTAGTGAGAGCTCTTATTGAAGATTGATGCAGCAATGAAAAAGATGGGGGTTTTGCTACACAGTCTTCATGTTATGGTCACAACTGAAAGTTACTGTATGTATATTATTGTCAGTAAAAATTGAGAGGATCTGGCACGTGGTGTAAGAGGATTCAACTGTGATGACAGTGATCACAGGACAGATGAAGAAAGCAAGAAAGCCTGGGACTCAATACCCCTCACCAAAACGGAGTTAAAGCGTTAAATGATGAGGCCAGTTGTCACTTAGACATCATGGAGATAGATGCCTTAATGACTGCATGTTTGCTGCAAAAATCCCTGGGTTACAATATATCTAGATAGAAGTGATTTGTGCCAACATAAATCAGCAGTTTGCAGAGCAATACCGAGAAATACCAATGCAAATTCTTTGCACTACCATGAAACCAAGAAATGCTTCTCGATCCGGAGAGAGACAGATTTTGGAGAAGTTGCTGGTGAGCCATTAAGCTTGGAGACCCAGGAACACTCCAAACCTGGGGAATGCAGTTTAAATCATTACGTTTCCAGGGTGGACTTAGCGCCATGTATCGAGAGAGACAGGTACTTGTGCATGGTCACACCTGTGGCTGCAGGACCGCACAAATTCTGCAGCCCCAGAGCCTTTTGGCCCAATAAGGCCTGACAAGAACACAGCTACCTGCATTGGAAAATCTTGTTGCAGCATTTAAAACTATTGTGCAGGAGCTCTCTGAGTCCGTAAGTCCAGAGAAGTGTTTTCTTCAGAACAGTAGGGTAAAGGGGGCTCAAGGTGTGTGCAAAAGGTTGTGAACTAGGCTTTGATCTAGATTTTACACCCCGCCCCAGCATCCTTTCTTTGTATACTCCGTTGTACAGGATGAACTTGGCCATCGCGAGCCACATCCGATTGAGGCTGGCTGTTAGCTGGCAGGCACGTCCGCCCATTTCAAAAAGTGTGTAAATAAGTTTGGTTTGTTACAAATCTCCCAGTGACTTGGGCCATTCCAGGGGGCTCGCAATGTAAAAGCAGGCTGAAATGCATCAGTTTTAGACGAGCTGTCAGACCACCTCAAAAAGCATTATCCTGGAAGGCATAAGCAAGTGTGAAAAGGCACCGTGGAGGTGAATGACAGAATGGGGCGAAGATGGAAGACCTGAGGAAGCTGGGAATGATATCGTTGCCTTTAAACTCGAGGATGGACATGGCTTATTTTCCTGTCATGTGTCGGAGGAAGTAGCTGCATCTGCACCCGTGGGGAAAACACTACACCTAGCTCAAGAGCAAGCATCCCAAACTAGGAGAGCCCTTTGGAGCAGGGGCTTTGCCTTTCTCTAGGTGGACGGCATTGAGTGTGTCAAATGTGAAATAACGACCGCAGACAGACACGCACCAAAGCTTTGTTGTTGATCACTGCCTGGCTGTTAACACAGCTGGTGGCAGGTTTGAATGCTGCGGCTTAAAAAGCTAATTTCCAGAAGGAGCTGCCAGTGATTAACAACTGGTTGTCAACTCAAACAGGTCTTGGTGTTCTGAAATACATTTGGTCTTGAGTATTTCAGCACTTCAGCACAGTGGCTGGGAACATTTTATAAGGCACAGTTTGGGCATTGTGACTCCCTCAGTTGGCTGAGAACACCACAGGCCATTCAAAATACAGAGGGATTGAGCTAGGTGTTGATTTTTGGATACTACATGTAGGCTTCAAAATAATGAGATAAACTTAATTATGAGTTTTTAAAAACATGTAATAAATGGGTTCTCCTTATTTAACACTGTTTTCTACATTTGCCTTTGCAGCGATGAGAACTAAAAAGTTCTTCCTGAAAACTGAGATTATCACAGAATCTCTCGCCTCCATAACCTGGGGCTTTCAGTAAAATGCTAAATATTGCAAGACCTGCAACACTGCATATGCATATGTCAGGAGTAAATAATATGGTGGCTGCCAGTAGGTCCTGCAGAGTGGCACCGGAGATGCCGAAATTTCTTCCCCACAATTAAAATATAACATGATTTTGCACATCACTGGATGGGAACAGTTCCTATGTTAATGGTGGCCCAAGCCCGCAGGTAAAAATACGTTGCATGTCTAAACACAAGAAATTGAAGCACCAGAGCAGTCTAGGTGCAGAGTGAGAAGCAAGTGCCCGCCTGCTGCGTGATCTCTTGGCATTTCTGGTAAATAGCAGGCTTCTCCATCTCGTGATCCCAGTCTCCCTCCCCCTGCCATTGCACAGTACACAGCATACGATGCTTCAGTGCTGGGAATACGCACTGGGCCCCAGCCCGGCCCTTATTTCAGTGAGAAAATGAGCAGCGCTTGGTTCCTGCAATTCACCCTCAGCGGGAATCTTGATAAATCACACCCAGAAATTTGGAGGCATTTTAAAAAGCAAATGCCATGCTTAAGCAAGTCGTTAGCTTGGTGGCAGTGGAAAATTCTCTCAGTAGAATAGATCCAAGCAGCAAGAGAGGCTTCCCTATGCCACCTTGCCCAAATGCTTCGAACGCCCCGGGATGGGTTTGCTTCTCTTGTGTGAAGGGTTACCTAGACAACACCGATTGTTAGTTTTGATGCTAAACTTCATTCGGTAGAAGCCGGAGTAAGAATACCAATTCACTTTTGTAGTGCTGCCGCCACAGTATCGCAGCACTTGAGCCAAACTCCACCACTTAGGATTCATAGCTCAAGTAGGAAAACTTTGCAGTCCCTGTGAATGTTGCAGTGGCTCTTAACACCTCTGACTAAAACAAAGTTTCAGAAGTCCCTCTTGTGCTGCTCGGAGAAGCAGGGATCCTGAAAGCCTCTTTTCAAAAGTTGAGGTTCCGCTGAAAAAAAGAAAGCCCATTTAAGGCCCAACCTGTTGTGACATTACCTGTTTTTTCTTTTATATCGTAAAGGTTTTCACATGAGCCAGACTTATTAATGGCAATGTAGGTGACAACGTAGCTCATTGTCATTGCAGCTTTTGACCTTTTGGATTGAATGTGAGGCAGTGAGAAGAATGAAACGTTCTCTGTGAATTCTGCAAACTGACCCCTCTCAAATGACTGGACATACAAAATCCAATATACACCTGAAAGTAAATGTCGCTGGGTAGTTGCCAGAGGCCAAATCATCTTTCCAAAACCCAGATCCAGTACGTCTGTTATGGAAATGCTGTATGTGAAGTAGCTTGTGGCAAACACTAGACCTTCTGCTTTGTGGTCTTTGACTGCTCAGTAAATGGAAGCTTTGTCGTCTTCAGCATCTTTGATTTTTGCCTTATTGGAGACCTTCTACCTGCAGAGGAACAGGGACTTCCCCGTGTGCTGTGGGTTCAAACTGTCCTGCACTGCACAGCAGGATTTTCCAGTTTAGGAACGTATTTACAGCTGGTCCTCACCACTGAAACAGAAATCTGTTCCTTAATCCCTTCTAATAAATAGTTTGCTTTTTTCTTGCCATGTTAGCTGCTTCTAGAAAAAAATCTCTTCTGTTCACTCAGGGAATCTATTTTGCTTGTATATTAGCTTCCACTGACTTTTCTGTGCTAACTTTTGCAAGTGCAATTTGGTTTCCTTTCTTAGGAATACGACTGGAGAAAATACCAGCCAAGTGGCCTGAGCACGTCTGAACTGCAGATGTTGGCCAGCATGAAGAGGCAGCAGAGCGAAGACTCTGAGGATAACGAGGTCCCACATGGGCTGAGCGCCTCTCAGATCGACACCTGCAACGTCAGCATCAGCACGAGCAGTGACGACACGACAACCTGGAACTCCGGCCTGTCACCCGTGAGTCTGTCCCTTCACTGTACTTCCGTAAAGTTGTGTGAACGGATAACCAATGCCAGTCTCCAGCAGAGGTCCAGTGGGCTCATTCAGTAAGATTTCTGTGGACATGCCTGAAAAGGTAATTCTGATATTGTGGGAATGCACACTTTTAGTAGAATTTAGCCAAGAAAATGTGGTCGCTGCACAGAGTTTAAATTCCCTGTGCAGAAAGCGCTCCTCTCACTTCAGGCCGCAGACAAAAAGAATGCTTTGCCCTCTTCCCCTCGACGCCATTGTTCAAGAAACATAATGTTCCACCCCCACGCACCCCTCCACGGATGTGCTTTCTTTTGTAGAGCTGTAGTTTAAATGCAAGGTCAGCTGATAATTTAAAAAACAGCCTCTGCTTTGATTTAATTCAGCTCTGATCTACTTGCTTCTTCCAGTGCTGGAGAAAGAAAAACTGGTCCCCAAATGTGTGCTGCTCCAAGGAGCAGAGGAACATTTGTTATGGTTCGCTGAGAACTCGAATGCCCAAGGTCACAAAATAACATTTCAACAGCATACAGAGGCGCTTAGAGACGCTACTCGAAAGCAAGACCATCTTAGTCCATTTATCTAGGCAACATAGTTCTTATTTCATAGTTTGTGAAACAACAGTAAATGCTGAAAGTGGCCTGTGGTTGAGGAAGACTCAGAGCACGTCTAATATGGGCAGGCTCAACCCGGGATCAGCTGCACACGGGCATGCTGGTTTGCAGTGCAAGGGGGACTGGAACTTGACTGGCTGCCAGTGACCTCCAGGGGCTGCTCGGCACTCGGGGGTTGCTGACATGCAGGTCTTTTGTAATGGCCAACAGCACGTTCTGCACTGGAGTTTGGTGATAGCCCAGGAAGTCGAGGCAATTTGATAAATGTACGATTATCCCCATAACAGCCGGATTACAAAGCAATGTTTGGAGGAGGTCAGAAACGTGGTTTTAATTGTTTAGGACATGTTGATACTGTCATTCCTTGGCGGAGTCCAGTCCAGCTTACCTTCTTCCAGGATTCACTTGATAGACTCAAACATAAGGCCTAACTTTCTGTCCCTACTCATTGGGGTCTCAAGTAAAGGAAGAGACTAGAAGCCTCATTAATTTTTGAGTAGCTTAATTGTCAAGAAATGGATAAGAATATGTAGACATGTCAAGTTTGGTTTTACAGGCATTATGTGCTTAAAACAAAAAAGAACTTTTAAAATAAAATGTCCTACTCCAATATTTAGCCAAGCATGATGTGAATGCAGAGAGAGTTTGTTTGATCCTGGTGCTTTGATCAACTTCTCTACGCTTCAGACTAATGTCTTCAGTTTAAAAATGTTTAGATATAATAAATTAGTAATTTAAAAGTGTAATTAGATGTAGCTGTGGTTATTCATAAAAGTCTTCCGTGGCCATCTCTCTGCATAAATCAAGCCTACAAGGAAATCTATTGGGCTTTGAGAGAGACAGGTTTTTGAAGGTTTTTTAACTTAGGAGCAAATTCAATTAAAAAAAATAATTTCCAACATCTAAAGCTTTCTAAGCCCAAGCAATCAGTGTGGGCGTCTTACCTGTGCAGCCCTGCTCAGGCTCCTGCTCTGGTCTTTGCGAGCTGGGCAGTGGGCCATTAGGATACCTAGGTGCCAAGTGTGCTGCCTGTTGCTTTTCCAGTTTTGGAAGTGATTTGTAACATTCATCGGAGATGCAAGATGGAGACCACTAGGATCTGAAATCCACTGTGTATCCACAGGGCCATTGCAGCAAGGGACAATGGCCTAGCAAGAAATACACCTCTGCCTTGACCAAGAGGAGTCTGTAGACCAGCAAGGTGGCAGTTGATCAGTTGCTGAGACAACTACCAGGGTGCCTTTGGATGCTAGTTTTGGGGGTGGATGGGAGTCTTCTAGACACCGTCAGCCACCCCGAGTGTTGAATTGCTGTGCTATATTTGGAAAGAAGCAGGATGATACACTCATATCTCTCGAAGTGCTTTCCAGTCCAGTAGTGTTAGATTGATGTAGTAGCCATGAAGCCATGAAGAGCCAGGAATTAGGTCTAACTTTATCCCAACCATGCAGTTGGTCCAGTAAAAGGTATCACCCACAAAGATCCCTGCCTCTTCCAGTGTAAAAGTATCTTAGGGGAATGTCCATCAAAACCTACTTGGGAGGAACCTTTTTAAGTCAGCCAGCCCAAATAACTGGCATCTCTAGCCTATTGTTAATCTTTAGTACACTTGGTAACCTGGGAAGATTGCAGAAGGGTGGAGGAGCTGAAGTTGTGCCGGTATTCAACAGGGGCAAATGGGCAACACGGGTAACTTCAGGACACTTGGCCTGGTAGCTGTTCCAGGCACAGCACAGGAAAAGTGTATATGGCATTCAGCTAATAAAGAATTGAAGAACAGAAATAACGATTGATGCTAGTCAACATAAACTTATAGAAAACGGATCTGGTCAAGCAATAGGTTTCATTTTTGGATAAGATGAGTCGATAAAGGGAGTTGCTTAGACAGAACCTGCTGATGTGTGTGTAACACAGGAGTGGCCAACCCCCTTGGCCCCGCGGGAAGCTGGAGACCCTGGACTCGGGCAGGCAGGTTGCAGGAGGGTAATGGTGGTCTCCACTGCCTGGGTTGCAGAGCCGCACTAACACACCGGCTTCAGCAGCTGCTGCAACTTAACCACTTGCCAGCCGCCAGTTGGACAGTCCTGGTACAGAGCATCTGAACTAGTGTCATGTAATACCCTGTTAAAAATGAACAGTGCCAGGATCAATAAAGCATATGCTGAATTGCTGAGGACCTGAAATCTGAGAGATGTTGCTGGGGATCAGCATCGAATAAAGGCATTTGCAGTGGGGCTCTGCAGGAAAGCATTCTAGACCTGATGATAGTCAACATTTTCATCAGCAATCGCTGCTGCATGGGAGGTCAGACTATGATCTGATGGCTCCTTCTGGCCTTAAACTCGATGACTCCTTGATCTAATTTCATAGAACCACCAGGCAGAGTTTTAATTGAGCCTCAACATTAAGCACATCTCAGGTGTGCTGTGTGGGCTGCTCCGTGGGCAATCTGAGCAGCAGAGAGATTAACAGTCAGCCTATTTGGAGTCCATGTGGAGTCCCCTTCCATGACGAGCAGAATGTGTTTGCAGGCCACTGCCCCCGAGCCCCTCCTGCCTCATCCCTGCACAGCCCAGCAGTGAAGCCGAAGGTGAATCATGTCCTGGTTGTAGGAAGGCCTTCTTTGACTAAGGCTCCATTTCATATTGAAGTTCAGAATTTACATAACTAAAAGGCCGTTTGTCTTCACTCCAGGACCGAGCGCCAGAACTGGGAATCACTCATCACTCCAGCCGGCTCTGTGGGAGCTGCAGGACTGCTGGAAATCAGCCCCTTGACAAAAATTGTATGCAGACTGTGGAGCAGCAACAGCATATCTGCAGCCATCTTCTGTTTTTACACAGCAGCAGGGGTTGCATGATGTATAGAAAATGAATAAGAATAACCCAGCTATTCTGTTTTACAAAATTAAGAGCAATTTGAAAAATTGTTTCTGGCTGTTATTAACCTTGAGAGATTACTTGCATTTCCAGGTGGTATCTTTCCATTAATTTAAAGCAATAACATCCTTTCCTCTCTATTAAATCCAGCTCTGACCAAAAGTTAGGGGGGGCGGGTTGTTCTAAAAACTGGTTAATTTTATATAACCTCTCTGTCCCTCTGTGTAATCTATAGCAACAGCACCACCAGAAGGCAGATCATTGTTTATCTTTTATCTCTAGAATACACTTTATTTCCTATAAAGCAATACTGTGTATAGGTAGATTGTACAGCAAGCATATGTATCAAAGAAATATTTTACATGTAACATGTTTTCTGTGACTAAATCTTCCATCATTTGCAGCTTCATTAAAATGCCCATGTATTTTTGGCTTAAATGAAGTTCAGAAATCCTTCTGAACAGCAAAGATATATAGATCATATAGCTGAGCTGCAGTTGGAACAGATGAACAGATGTTCTTATACAACTATAAAAATGATATACTAAAAACTGTATTTTATAGCCAATGATAGTTTACTGAGAACTGAAATGTAATATCGCTGCTGTCAGGAGAAATTGTTGAAATATAAGTTATTTAGCAGCTGTTCTAAACTATGACAGCCCAAAAGGAATAAAATAGCTTTGGGTACAGTACATTACACAGCATAGCTGTCAACTGTAGATATATTAAAAAATGCATTTTACCTTGAAGGTGAATTCTAAAGCTTTATAAAATGTGAAAAATTAAAAGTTAATTGCACTCCCAGTCAGCATCAAAATACATATTTAGAATTAAACCTTTTAAATGTTTGTGAAATGAAATTTTTACAGTGCATCTCATCTGACCATTTTCTTTGATACCAAGAGCTGCCGTGCTAGCCTTGCTGGTATCAAATGCAAAATTCTCTCTATGAACGACAATAGTAGAGTTATATAACCTTACCTATAACATATAGGTAAATGATACTTTAATATCACGCTCCACAGTGTACATATATGCTGTACAGTTCATATAAACGTATTATATGTGAGTGTTTATGCTATAACTGAAACTGTAGAACGAATATGCATGTCAGTCCAGAGGGAAGTCTTATATTTAAATTTTACTTTTATGCAATTAGGGGCTGACTGACCTTTTTGAATTTTAACCACAAAGGAAGACTAAAAAACTCTAATATCAGATATTACAACCATCTCTTCCCATGTGTCATCTACTTGACACAAGACACGAACATTTGCAAGGTGTTGTCTTACTGCTGTTTCCTCTGTCTTCCACAGCCTGTCAATCAAGGTCGTCACTACCAGAAAGAAATGAACCCACTTTCCCATTCCAACCCACGGTGAGATTCCATTTATAGCGCGGGCAGTGACAATTCGATTAGATGCTTCTGAATAGTAAGTGCAGCGTTCTGTGATTGAAACTTCACTCTCTTTCCCATTGTTACCTCTTCATGGAGCGTTCTGCTCCTGCTTTGGTCTTCAGTAACTTTCCACAAGGCAGTTAGTCTGCATTGGCCCAGGATGCAAGGCAGAGCTCTGTTGCACAAAGCCGTCATCTAGTGTCACGTACTTATCAATGTAGAGCCTGTTCTGTGCTACGTGACTCGGGAGCCTGCCCCCCATCACACTGCCTCACCCACCAGGACTGGATTTGTTTGAGTATTTGTGCACGTCTCTCACAGTTGAGGAACCTGAATGGTCATGAATGGGGCGTGGGTTTAATACTACCCAGGAGGATGACACCCTCAGGATAGGAGGATTTTTACGCATGCTCAGGGGTCATGGCAGATGGGGCTTGCCTATGATGTGTACTAACTGCGCAGATTGGCAGTTGTTTCTGTTTCCCATCAGCAGTAAGAGTCCCATTGGGACCTTTTTATTTTTGATTGGAGCTGAGAAAGAACCAGTTGTCCACCATCTGCGTCTGTGTGACTGATCGCAGTTCTGTTGGCACTCCTCCTGTAAGCCTTTGCTGGGACTGGAGTGCAGTACCAGACCATTCTGTCCAGTTTTCGTTCTGTTTGGGTTTCTGTGTGTGCTTGGCTGCATTTTATACACAGAAACACACAGATTTCATCTAATAGGCAATGGAGTTAACATATTAAGCTAACACAATCTGAAAGGTGAGTCGTTTATCTAGCCCAGGGGTGCCAAAGGTGCAGCCTGCAGTGCTCGAGAGCTGACCCGCAGTGCATGTGGCACCTGCTGGACCAGCCACATGCACCAGGCCCCAACCGTGTGCTGTACACAGTGCCTGCTCTGCCCAGTCTGGAACCCATGCTGCATATGGTGTAGGTCCCAGACTGGCTGGAGCAAGTTCTGTGCAAACTGGATCTGGCATGGCGGAGGGGAAGGGGTGCCTGTGGGCCTGATCTGACCTGCAGGGTCGGCCCTGTGCCACATATCCAGCCCACGGACTGACCCAGCATCTCTTGTCCGGCCCATAGGACTTTGACACCCCAGTGTAGTCCAGCCCCCTGCTCAAGGCAATGTCATCTCTGCCTGAACCATAGCAGACAAAGGCTTGCCTGACCTGCACTTCAAACAAGCTTCAAACAAAAGATTCCACGGCCTCTCTAGGCAATCTGTTTCTGTGCTTAAATACCTTCATAGATAAAGTTCTTGTAAATATCTAACCTAAATCTCTTTTTAGAAGTTAAGCCCATTACTTCTGTCCCTGTGAACACAGAAAACAATTGACTGCCCTCTTTTTTTATAACAACCCCTCCTGTATTTGAAGAGTATTATCAAATTTCTCTTCGGTCTTCTCTTGTCTAGATTAAATAATTCCAGTCCTTCCAGTCTTTCCTCATATATAGATCTCTTAATTATTTTTGTTACTATCCTCTGAACTCTTCTGCTTTGTCCATGCCCTAACTGAAATGTGCTGCCCAAAATTCAACATGGTATTTCAGGTACTGTCTCACCGTTTCAATGGAAAAATCACTCCAGTCATTTCTGGTGACTGCATATGACACTCCTGTTAATGCCTCCCTGTGTGCTATTGTCTTTTCTGCAGAAGTATTGCCCTAAAAACTCATAAGCGCCTGACAGACATTATACTTAGAATGTGATTAACCGGTTAGTCGTGTCTTAAATAATAACCTGGGTGCACAGTCATGCATATTTTGTGTAATAGCTGTGTGGCTGGTTCCCATCACACCTAAAACTATGTATGGCCGGGATCAACTGATTGGTGCCCCCAGGCTCATGAGCACATGGGAGCCCTTGACTCAGCACTCCTGGGGCTGGGAGTGTGGATCCCCTGCCTGGCTTGCTACTTGCTGGTGCAAGGGGAGCGCAAGATCATGATCCCAGGCTCCGCCTGCACTGACAGCTTGGAGCAAGGGGGATCTGATCCCTAACCACAGTTGCGCTGCCTGCCTTGTATGTGTAGCATGAGAGGAAGCACAGTTGTTGGGGTCACACATCAAATCCCATTGTGCCTTTAAGGCTAGAGGCACAAGTTACACATAAACCAGTTTAAGTGATCAGAAACTGGTTTAAACCTGTAACAGAACAAAAGTTCAGTGCACATAAACCAGCTTCAAAATGGCCAAAACTGGTTTAAGATAAATCTGGTTGAATGTGGTATCAGACTTAACTGATTGAGGTCAAACTGGTTTATGGCACTTCTGTCCCAAACCCCTTCCTGTTTTAAGTTAAATCAGAGTCCCCAAGCATCCCAGCACTCTCTGCAGCCCTGGGCTGGGCTGTGCTGTCTGCTCCAGAGAGCAGGGCTGGCCCTGCCCCTCTGCTCTCTAGCCGAAGCAGTGAGGACTGGCTGACAAGAGGTGGGGTGGGAAACCTGGCTGGGGGTTTGGACTGTTCTCTCCTAAGTGCACCATTTTGCACTTATCCATGTTGAATTGCTTCCTATTTCTCAGATTTTGTCTAATGTATCAAGGCCATTTTAAATCCTAATCCTGTTCTCTAATGTACTTGCTACTCCATTCTGCTTGGAGTCGTCTGCCAGTGTATAAAGTGCACATTCATTTCTATCTTCCAAGTCATTAGTGAACAGGACTGGACCCAGGGCAGCTCCCTGCTGAGCCACACTTGAAACCTTCTCCCTGTGTGACAGTGACCCATTGCTGACTACCTCTGAGTACAGATATCCAACCAATAAGGCACTCGCCTTGCAGCCATTTGTTTGGCTTGTCACCTCACCAGAGAAGGAAATCAGGTTAGGCAGGCATGACAGGCTCTTGCTAAATCCACGGTATCTGCTCCTTACCACCTGGTTATCATCTAGGTGCTTACAAATAGTTTGTTTGATGGCATGCTCCAATATCTTACTAGGTATCAAAGTTAGACTGACCAGCTTGTAATTTCCTGAGCCTCCTTTTTTTAAAGATGGCACTACGCTTGCCCTTTTCCAGTATTCTGGAAAATCCAAGTTGCTACCGGCCTTGGCTGCTGTTTAATCTGCCAAACAGAATTGTGTAGAATTTTTTAGAAAATCATTTTTGAGAAATCCAGGCAATCAAAGTATTTGTAAAAAGACCGACTTGTAACTGCCTCATAAATTCAGCAGCTCTTATGAACTGCCAGAAGGGCATTAGTAGGCTGTAAATATAGCTGATGACCAAATTATGAGGTCAGCTTACATCATGATATGAAAACTGGAGGAGAGGCATGTAATACATTAGCAGTTTATAGTTTGTGACTGGAATCAACAACATTTTTACACGTCACTTAAAATAAACAACAGAAATATTGTTCACGGGGGCAGGGAGCAAAAGCTGTAAGTAAAGGAACAGGGAGATCTCATTACTGGTGAATCTAAAATAACGGGAGTCCCAACTCTGCCTTAACATTACATTTAACAAATAGGATGATACCTTTCCGCTGCCCTCAGCTTGGAATGAATTCACCTTCCAAGTACAAGTCCTGGGAACTGCAGCCCACGGTGCATCTAGCTGGTTACTGTTTTAGCTGTCTTATCCTCTTATCTTGAATACCAACCACAGTTTTCACAGCCCCCCAGTGGAGACACAGCAAGCAACATCCAGATATCTTAATCCCAGTAAGACTGAGAGATTTAGGAGAGTTGTTAGTGTCCTAAAAGCCTAAAGGAAGTCATCAATCTCCCAAAAAGTCTAGTTAGGCCATGGAAGTCTGGCAAACCTACCGTGGGTTGTTGGGTGCTGCTGGTGTGACTGAGGCTCCAGTCGGAGGACCCATCCATGAGTTCACTACACAGACCAGCTGGGGCTTGGATCTTCAGAGGTTCCATCGAGTCCTGCGGGGTTTGCAAGAGCCTCTCCATGCTTGTGTACAATAAGTGTGTACAATCACCCGTATGATCAGAGACTTGCATGGCAAGCCATACGGCTGAGGGACTTGGGTCTCCTCAGCCTAAAAAAGAGAAGGTTGAGAGGGGACTTGGTAGCAGCTTACCACTACATCAGAGGAGTACATCAAGTGCCTGTGAACCGTTGTTCACCAGGGTGCCCTTGGGGAAAAACGGGAGTAATGGCCACAAACTCCTGGAAGATCATTTCAGGCTTAGCACCAGGAAAAACTTCTTCACAGTCAGGGTGTCCTTCCAGAGATGGGGCAATCACCTACCCTGCAGATCTTCAAGAGACCGGATGGTCACATGACCCCAGCAGTCTTTCCTGCCTAGTGCAGGGGGCTGGACCCAATGCTCTTGCGAGGTCTCTTCCAGCCCCTGACATCTGTGAATCTAATTGAAGTTGCAGATGCCTTGGCTGCACTCTTCCCCATTGCACTTCTGCTCTGACCTCATAGGTTGTGTTCATCTTGGCCTTTCTTTCTAACGTTTAGAAATAAGACAAGCCCCAAACTGAGCCAGTTTGGAGAAAAACCAGTCAAGTTATGAAGTGTATACTAAATGCCCAAATGGAATGGCTGAGGCAATCTACATCAGCATTTTGTCTAGATTTATATTTTATCTATAAAATGTGTCAGTTCTGTATTACAGTGTAAAGACTTGGTAACTTTGCCATTTGTGGGTGTGCTATAAACTTTCTTGTATCTATAATTGCCTGATAAGGGCCTGCAGCCCTTGACAAATGATTAATAGCCATTGACCTCCCCTCACATGGGCACAGGATAGGCTGACTAAAGCAAGCTGTCTTGTCATTACAACCTCCATGTGTAGCATAGGACTGATCGGGTTGTCGTCATTTTTCTTTCCTCAACAATCTCAAATATTTTCATAAGTAAGCATGGGTTTTTTTACTCCTTTCCACTAGAAGCAGATAAATAGCATAAAGATCAATAAATTACCAGAGGTTACATTTCACACAGGCTCCAGTTGTTTAATCTTATAACAAAGTTCTGTAGTTTTGGAATTGGTATCTGTCAAAAA